AATTGGATTGAACAAATTTACAAAATTAAAATATAAATATTTAATTTCTTGAAGCATTTTTCATAAGTACAAGGTTAAAAGTGTAAATAAAAAAAAAATTGAATTATATTTGAATATCAATTTATCATATGGAATTAGTAGTGGATGGCCTTAAAACTTGGAGTTCCCGTACTGTAATTAAATATTCGAGATTTTGTTTTTTTTTTTTTTAAATGGATTAATATAAATACTGTCACTTTAATTATTCATATATCGTAGACAAAATATAATAAATATATTTAATATATATTTTTTAATATATTAGACGACGTTTATAAATGTTTACATGAAAAATATTAAAACAAATCATAATCAATACAATGGAAGACCTTCCCTGTATACACCGTGTGATTTGAGCGGCGGTAGCAACCTGAAATCCACAAGCTTGCCTTTAGCAATGTGACATGCATGTGGAATTTATGTGGATTTTAGATTGCTACCCCCGCTCGGTGTCGCTCGGTGTCGCTCGGTGTTTACTGGGTTTTCTTATATTTCAAAGAACTGAATTATAAAGTTAAAATTCTTTATTTCAAATATATAATTGAGCTTTAGATTTATAGCTAGAATTAAATTTAAAATCCGAATTATTTTCGATATTTAAAAAGAAAATCTTCAACTAATCGTTTCTTCACACTGCGAACACTATCAAAATGTTTTTTGAATCATTAAAATAGGGTGTTTTGTTCTTTCAAAAACTGCCATTTCTTATACTTTTTGTTTCGTATCTCCGAAACTGTTGGACCTGTGTCTTTCCCAAAAACTAATCAGCATGTTTGCCCAGAAGTAGTATTCTAACGCTTTTGAATAAATCAAATCGGTTGAACCGTGCTCTCGAAAACGTGGACGAAAAATTATATTTACACGTACACACACCTATTTTTTTTAAGGTATGCCAAAATGATCAGAAACCACTGAAACGTGAAGATATTTATAAAAATTCATTTTGGATTTTTGAACGATTACTACAACTTACTCTACAAGAAGTTAGCAAAAACATAAATATTTAATTCAATTTTTATAATTTAATTTAATAATTCTGAACTCCCTATTTTAAAATCAGTATTCAATTCATTTGGAATAAAAGCACCTAATTAACTACATTTTTCATCATCTCTCTAATTCATCATCAGAATTTGCCCATTATCTCATCAGACATGATCCCTCAGATATAGTAGTCAAATTTCAAATAATTCTCAACCGCCCCAAAAATCACTTTCGTCTCTGTTTAGTGGTGTGCTGGTGTGGGTTACGGCTAGACTGTGTCTACCTTTTATTCGGCATATCTGTGTATACAAAAAATATAGTCTTGTTCGTAAATTTCGACGAAATTTACGTATACATTTGAAGATACTCCATTCAAGGACGTCTGCAGGAATAGATGTGTGTCTGTGATGCAGTACAAGTAGAACGTTTCGTTGTGGGAGTGAAAAACGTGGTGTATTATCGATAGAACTTGCCTGCAACTATGTACATGGGATATATGAAATATACTTGAATACTTTTGATGAAAATATTTCGAGTTTATTCAAATTTGATTCATTTATGCTTAATCGTTTTTTTGAGACCTTAATATTCTTTTTTTTTTCTTAATTTTTTGAATATTTAAGCAGCATTTATTGAATTAAATTAGTGGGGCGCATGGCATCGTGCCTTAAAACAAATTGCTGGAACTTCCCATACCATAATTTAAGATTGTTGAAAGCTTCACAATTTTTTGAAAACTGAAAAGATTCGATTTTTGAACGCCGTAGTCTAACAGTTAAACATTATAAATCTTGGCACAGAACCCAAAGAAATGCAAACAAAATTTGTACTTATTATAAAATACCTATAAAATATCTAATAATTTGATGTGAAATCATTTTTTTGATTTTTCTATTTTTTTAACTTCCAGTAGGTTAGGTCAAAGTAACAATCGCAAAAAAATCAAAATAAATTTCTATATTTATCTTTACGTTTTAAAGGTTTCTGAACATTTTGGCATACCTCAGAAAAAATGCATGTTTGTGTGTGTGCGGATACAATTTTTCGCCGACGATTTCGGGAACCGATTTCAATAATTTAAAAAACATTCGATTCGTATTGATAAAGAGACGAGCTGATTAGTTTTTGGCGAAGGCAGGTCTAGCCGTTCCGAATATACGGGGCAAAAAGTGCCAAAAACGGTAACTCAGATTTCAAGCTCAGATTTCATAGGAGCGTCGGATTTTAAAAATTCAAAAAACATTTTATTTGTATTGACAAGATAAAGAACTGATTAAATTTTTGGGAAGGCAGGTCCAGCGGTTATGGACTCAATAAAAATCAGTTAAAAAAATGTCATATTGGACATATGTACATCAACTTCAAATATTTTATAGAGATTTTGATAATGTGTACGTATTTTGTCAATTTTTTTGGGTTCCGTACCAAAATTAATAACGGTACGGGAAGTTCCAGCAAGTTCCTTAGAAATGCAAACAAAACTTGTAGTTTTTATATAAAATATCTGTTAATTTGATATGAATATGTCTAATTTGACCTCAAAATAGCATTTTTTTTAACTTTATTCATTATATTTCGTAAACCACTAAAGCTACCTTTGTAATGTATGTGCTGATACAATTTTTTTTGTCGATTTCGAGAGCACGGATCATCCGATTTGAATGATTCAAAAAACATTTGATTCCTCTTGATAGGTTGATATGCTGATTACTTTTTGGCAAAGACAGGTGCAACTCCTTCGAAGATACGGGATTAAAAGTGCAAAAAATGGCTATTCAGGTTTTTTGAGAGAACGTAGTTTCGTATGTTTCAAAGAACATTACACTAGAATTGATTGCATTTTTGGGAAGGCATGTCCAGTAGTTTTGGACATTCAATAAAAAAAATGAAAATAAAATGCAATTTGGGAATCAAAAATGATCATTAGACATATGCACATCAAATTATTTTAATCACATCAGTTATTTTATAAAGATTTTAATAAGTACAAATTTTTATTGATTTTCCAAAAAAAAAAAATCAAGCATCAAAAAAATTCTCAATTTTCAAAAAAGTTCAAGTTTTTATGATTTTTACCGTATAAGTTTATAAATTATACGGTACGGTATAGTAAATTCTAGCAATTTGCCTTAAGGCGATGTCATGCACCACTAATTTTATCTTTTTTTTTTTTTTTAATTAGCTCCTATATATAAAATATGTTTCAACATGAAAAAATCCAAAATGTTATAAATTTGTTTGTGTGCGTGTGTAATTCTTCAGATTAATTTTGCATCCAACTTACCACATGGCAACATGGGTTATATAATGCGTTTTTGTCTCATACAATTCGGGTACAACCTTTTCAAAAAGATTTTAATATGTTCCCGGAATTATGTATTTAAAATGCTTAAAATTTTCGGAAATTTTACCTGCTGTTTGAGAATCGCTCTCCGCCCATATGGTGGGGAGAATGGTTTGGAAGCCAGCACGTGTAAAGAAGCTTCAGTTCACAGAATTTTCCCGATGCGATAGTCTTCATTAGTGTCGAACGGGATCACTAAAATTCGCAAATAATTTATAAAAACAGTTAACTAGTTCATATTATTCTACTGGTGCTTACGGTAAAAAGTGTTTATTTATATCTAGTTGTATTTGTGTAAAATTATCAAGTTTTTTGACAAAATTCATATGCGTTTTACTTTAAGTGCGCTACAATTGTGAGGCGAATGCCTTTGACCTTACATGAATTTATATATAGAATTCTTGTGAGAAAGTCTTAGCTAGTTTTTAGTGTAAAATTTATTTTGCGTTGCCATTGACATTGACATTTGTCGGTCATTAACTTTATCATTATATATTTAATATATCCAGTAAATGATACCGAATCATTCATTCCTATTCAAATTACATATTCATATTATTTATAAGTGACGATTATTGGAATCCTCTTTTATGACTTATGTATAAAGGATTTAATCTAATTAAATGACGTTTCTAGCATAGCACATGGTCTAAAATTACAGATAAGTGCTTATCAATTTAGAAGATAAAATGTTTGTTCATTGTATTCAATATTAATTTCAAACTACGTAAATGACTAATATAGAATAAAAAGTAGGTGAAACATTTATTCAAATTACTAGGCCATGAAATTTTTTGCATTACTTACCACAAATGCACTGACAAAAGTAGAAAGATTAAGTTGATTGTAATCATAAAATTACTAGGATTTTATAGTTTGAAAGAATTTCTGGTAAAATTTTGTTCTGTGAATATTTCCAAATATATACGATGCTTTAGTATAAAATTAGTGGGAACATATTGTTGATAGTTAAAGTTATATAAATCGCAAACTTTAGCTTTTATCTAATTTATCACATTTTAACTATATTGTATATACAGTAGAACCTCGTTTATCCGGACCTCAGTTATAAGGATTCGCGATTATCCGGACTACCAATCGCGACCAATTCATATGTATGTACGAATTTTTGCATGATTAATGCTGCAGTTTAGTATATCTATATAATCTAAAAAAAATATCCTTGTGTATACATAAGGAAGAGTTAATTTCCCTATATTTTTAATAAATATACAACATTATTCTTCATATATTTGATTATCCGGATTTTCGATTATCCGAACGTCGTCTCACAACAACAATTAGCGGTTAATCGAGTTTCTACTGTAGCTCAATATGTGTATTTAAATTCGTAAACAATCCATTATCCCATAAAACGCAGTGTCCAGTGGCGTCGGAACCAAATTTTTGATGGGTGGGCTCGTTTTGTTTTTTTTTTGGTAGACAGCCAGTGGGCTCGTTTTTTTAGAGATATTAGCTCATATAATTTTTTGAAATTGATGGGTGGGCTGAGCCCCCCCATCAAAATTCATGGGTGGGCTCAAGCCCACACGGTTCCGACGCCACTGGCAGTGTCTATTACAAGCTATTCTTCCTTTTTTATGTCGTATTAATTTTATTTTCTTTCTTTTAGCCCCAAACGGAGGCCGTAACTGCACCAGTCACAATAATTTCAGAACGGACGTTGGTGCACGTCGAAGATTCTGTAACAATTAATCAGAAGCCCGAAACTGCAACAGTAACTAAAACGATCAGATTACAGAAGACAGAAACTTGCAAAAACGCCAAGATATCTTGCAAAGTGCAAGAACTGGAAGGAGCATTTAGGAACAATATTTTTTGTGTACAAGAGACGCAGCCCCTGAGGCAGCGAAACGGCTTGACCATAACCGCCGGGTGCTTTGAGAAGACGACCCAAAAGCAGGGCCAACAACCCGACAAGACGGAGTGCCCCAGGTAAATAGGAAAAAATTACACATGATAATTGACTGTAGATAGGGAAGATTCCATAAAACTTTTATTTACCTTGATAGCTCTCTCATTTGATATTCAAAAACCATAATTTAGTGATCAACTTCTCATTTTATTTGTAAAATTTTATGATGCATTTCTAATTTCACAAAGAGATGTTTTTTTTTATTTATTTATTTATTGATATATTTTCATATCTGCCAGGCAGGGGTGTCTGGTATGAGAGATCATGAAACAATTTTCATATTTTATATATACATATCATTTGTCTATTTCATTATACAATAATATAATATTTTAATCTTTTTCGTCTTCAACTTCATATTTTTAACTTCCCGTAGAGCAAGTTGTAGTAATCGCAAAAAAATCGAAAATGAAAAATTTTATATATCTTTACGTTTCAGAGGTTTCTGAACATTTTGGCATACCTTAGAAAAAATGGATGGATGTGTGTGTGTGTGTATGTGCGTGTGTGTATGTATGTGCGGATACAAATTTTCGTCGACGATTTCGGGAACACGGATCATCCGATTTAAATAATTCAAAAAACATTCGATTCGTATTGATAAGGAGACGTGCTGACTTGGCGAAGGCAGATCTAGCCGTTCCGAAGATACGGGGCAAAAAGTGCCGAAAACGGTAACTCAGTTTTTAAGAGAACAGAGCGTCCGATTTGAATAATTCAAAAAACATTTTATTTGTATTGACTAAATGAAGAACTGTTCAAAATTTTGGAAAGGCAGGTCCAACGACTTCGGAGATATGGAGGAAAAAATAAAAAAATGAGCCATTTGGCGGTCAAAAATGATCATTAGACATATGCACATCAAATTATCAGATATTTTATAGAGATTTTAACAATAAGTATAAATTTTGTTTACATTCCCATGGGTTCCGTACCAATGTTTACACGTTAGACGGCGATGCGGCGCTTACGCGCTTTGATATTTCGTCTTTATGCAGTGAAAGCAGTACGATTGCTTTGAAAAAACCTTCAGAATTTCCAAAATATGTCAAAATGAAAAAATTTTTTTTTAAAAGTAATTTTTAAAAATCTAATTTTTTCAAAGTAAATTTTTTTCAAAAATGTTAATCATTTTTAAAAAAATAATAATTTTTGGTACGGGAAGTTTCAGCAATTTGCCTTAAGGCACGATGCTCTAATAGCCTTAAGACAAATTCCACTTACAGCTAGTTATATTATTATATTATTTTTAGGCAAGCGGGGCCAGTAGCTCGTGTTTCGGGGAGCGCCCCCCCCGCTAAGCGACGCTGGGTCCCACCATCGACTTTACTAAGGCATCGAGATGCTCTCAATCCAGAGGCAAGGAATGATCTCATCTTCCGCAAGGTAAATCAAATCATTTAGTTAAGGGATTTTTTACTTAATATTTAATTATTGTCTGGGACTGATCATGACAGTGTTAATATTCTTTATTAGTTGCTAAGACTTTATTTCTGGTTTGATCATGAAATGAATATTTCAATAGGTACGAGGCATTCTTAACAAACTCACACCGGAAAAATTCCAGAAGCTAAGTGATGATCTGCTTCGTACTGAACTAGATTCGAAAGTTATTTTACATGGTGTAATTCTACTCATTTTTGAAAAGGCGCTGGAGGAGCCTAAGTATAGGTAATTTAAGTTAAATTTTAATATTCCTTTTTTTATTATTTTTATTTTATTGTTCCTCCTGTGAGAACTTTAATTTCTACTAATCAACATGGATTCATGCCTGCCCGTTCTACGATAACAAATTTAATATGTATTAAACAATATATAGCTGAGAATCTTGACACTAATGGACAAGTTGATGTTATTTACACTGATTTCAGTAAAGCTTTTGACAAAATTGATCATAACATTCTTCTTACTAAATTATCTAAGATTGGTCTTAATTCTTCACTTATTTATTTTTTTAAGAGTTATCTTCATAAGCGTAAACAGTTTATCTTAATGGATTCTTGAGCAACATTGAAAATATCAGTTCGGGTGTTCCTCAAGGATCCATTCTCAGTCCACTACTATTTATTATTTTTATTAATGACATTTCTGATATTATTAGCTGTCCACATTTATTATTTGCAGATGATCTCAACTATGTCTCAAAATAAATTCTATTGATGACTGCTTATTATTACAGTCTCAACTTGACTCTTTCCACTCTTGGTGTATCTATAATAAATTACATTTAAATATATCAAAGTGCAAGATTCTCAGTTTTTTACATAAGCGCGTTCCAATACTTTTTGATTATAAAATTTCTAACACCAGCATTGATAGATGTAATAAAATTTTAGATTTAAGAGTTCTATTTGATTCTGGTTTGTTTTTCACGTATCATATAACTGATATTTGTAATAGAGCACACAAATCTTTAGGTTTGATACTGAGAAATTGTAAACAATTTAAATTTACCATGCGCTTCCCTTGCCTCGCGTCGATTTATCTGTACAATTATGTTCTTATTCAAACTTTGCTATAATTCTATAGACTGTCCTCTTATTCTTAGTCAACTATCCTTTAATGTTCCAAGGCTATCTATGCGTTCACAATTATTTTTCAATTATTCTACTCCTAAATCTAATGCTCTCTTAAATTCGCCTATTCTACTTATGTCCTCTAACTTTAACTTAATTAATAATGAAATAGATATTCACAACACTTCACCTAATCAAATAATCTCCATCTGCACAAGCTAACCTTTTTATTTTCATTTCAAATATCTCATTATTTTATCTTATTCTGTTTATAAATAATATTGTTACATTCTGCATATGTAATTTTATGTAAGCATTTTATGTTAATAACTATATATTGTAATTTTGTATATATTTAAATTGTAATTCATTATGTAAAATAACTGTATTTTTGAGTCCTCTTGGAGTAATCTGGGCTATATATTTAAATAAATAAATAAATAAAATATATAAAATTTTCTGATACAACATTTATATTTGTAATATAGCATATTTTTCAATGATATTGTGATACCAAGCTACATGATGCTGAAGTTTATTATCTTATTATTATCTTCAGAATATCTTATTCTTGTTATTTTATAGTTCTATGTATGCACATCTCTGTGAGCGCCTATCCAAAGAAGCACCAAATTTTGAAAGAGAATCAACCCCTTGCACATTTAAAGTTTTATTATTAAATAAGTGCCGCGCTGAATTTGAAAACAGATCTGCGGCAAGTGAAGCATTTAATGAATATGGAGGAAAACTGTCCCCTGAGGATGAGGAACGTAAGCACCTCGCCAAGCGCAAAATGCTCGGAAATATCAAGGTAATAAAAAGAAATACTGTGATTTTGATCACTGAATTCACTTGTTTTTATTTATTTAATGACATATTTATGTTCATATATTTTGAATATATCCTAAACTATTTATCAATTTCTTTTAGTTTATTGGTGAGTTGGGTAAGTTGGAAATTCTATCGGAAAGCATTCTACATCGCTGCATTCAGCAACTACTGCAACAACAAAAAACAGCACCTCGTAGACCACAAACATCATCGGCACAATCTCAACAACAACAAACTTCACAATATTGCAGTGAAGATCTCGAGTGCCTGGCTCAACTGGTGCGCACCTGTGGCAAGATCCTCGACAATGACAAGGTATGTGCCACATTCAATACAATATCATTATTCAAATACAGTAATACTCCGATATACAAATTTATTTTTTTCTGTAACCACTCTCATATATTAAATTTCTCAAATTTCGAAGAATTTTTTCCCCATATAAATAAATTTTTCAATATTACAAATTTATTATTTATTATTTTTTAACTTCCCGTAGGGTAAGTTATAGTAATCGCAAAAAAATCGAAAATGAAAATTTTTATATATCTTTACGTTTCAGAGGTTTCTGAACATTTTGGCATACCTCAGAAAAAATGGATGTATGTGTGTGTGTGTGTGTGTGTGTGTATGTATGTATGTATGTATGTACGTGTGTGTATGTATGTGCGGATACAAATTTTCGTCGACGATTTCGGGAACACGGATCAACCGATTTGAATAATTCAAAAAACATACGATTCGTATTGATAAGGAGACGTGCTGATTAGTTTTTGGCGAAGGCAGGTCTAGCCGTTCCGAAGATACGGGGCAAAAAGTGCCGAAAAACGGTAACTCCGTTTTTAAGAGAACGGAACGTCCGATTTTGATAATTCAAAAAACATTTTACTTATATTGAGAAGGTGAAGAACTGATCAAATTTTAAGGCGCATAAAGGCAGGTCTAGCGGTTTCGGAGATCTAATGAAAAAAGTAAAAAAAAGCCATTTGGCGGTCAAAAATGATCATTAGACTTATGCACATCAAATTATCAGATATTTTATAGATATTTTAACAATAAGTATGAATTTGGTTTACAGTCCTATGGGTTTCGTACCAATGTTTACGCGTTAGACGGCGACGCGGCGCTTACGGGCTTTGATATTTCGATTTATGCAGTTAAAGCAGTACGATTGCTTTGAAAAAAAGTTTAGATCTTCCAAAATATGTCAAAATATAGAAAACTTTTTTTTTTCAAAAATAATTTTTGGTACGGGAAGTTCCAGCAATTTGCCTTAAGGCACGATGCCTTAATTGCCTTAAGACAGAATTCCACTTACAGCTAGTTTATTTATATTATGATGTTATTTGTTAAGTGTTAAATTTACTAATTTCATTAATTTGTATTAAATATATTTCCCTAATGCAAAAAATATCATGTGTTCTATATTATTTATTATTTTGTAAACCTTATTATATTATTTTTTATTTATTCTATTATTTTTCTATTATTTATTTTTTTATTTATTCTATTCTATATTATTTTTGTAAACAGTATATAATATGCACAATATTGTTGTAGGGCAAGAAGTTGATGGATCAGTACTTCACGCGCATGGAGGCAGTGGCCCAAAATCCAGAACTGGCACCTCGCATCAGATTCATGCTTCGTGATGTCATTGAGTTGAGAGGAGATGGCTGGGTGCCCCGGAAGGCATCTAGTACTGAAGGTCCCAGACCCATACACCAGGTATAACGACATTGACATTCTTTGTTTATTAACCAATGCAATTGGTTTTTCTAAGATGATGTATAAATTTAAATTGATTTTATAATGATAAATATAAATAGTTTCGTCACTACCACTGATTATTAAATAAACATTCATATAATTTAGAATTTAGTATTCTATATATTAATGTAATTTGTGCAATGTAGATTAGAGGTGATGATGACTTGCGATCGTCATATGCATCCATGCGGTCTGGGGGCCGAGATTCAGGCCTTGGAGGTCTAGGTAGAGATCACAGAGACCATCGTGACTCAGACCAGGATTCATGGATGGGTGGTTTGCCATTGAAACTGAGAGGCATTAATGACATGTTCAATGGACTAAATGTGTCTAGTCCCAGTACTAATCTTATACCTCTTCCCCATCATGATAAATTCAAGTAAGTTATGAATGTAATATATTATTTTTTATTATCAACAATATAACATTAATAAAAATTGAATATTTAATTTTAAAAATGCACATTTGTATTAAAGTTTATTTTGCTATGTTCTTTGAATGATGTTCTTAATTAACTCTAATAGATCCTATTGAATCTATATTTCATGAAACAAATTTTTATCTGATCAGCAAATTGCTGCAACATGACTGTTGCCCTTATTCACTATATTTATTTTATATGTACTGATCTTTTGCAGTTTTACCAGCAATGGTTTTGGCTCAAATCGAAATGAGCATCGAACTAACTCTGAAGGTTCCTTCCGAGGACATAATAACCAACATGGGAATAACCGTGGCCCAGGTTCTGCGGGAGGAAATCATGGCAACAACCGTGGTTATAATAATTCTAATAAACATGGAATGGGTGGCGGTATTTATGGCAACAATGGTAAAAGCAATTATTTTATTCAGGGTCAAATAAAATCGTGAATTTTAAATCTAAGTTAAATATGTGATTTTTTTTTTAGCTAACAAGGATATTGCCCCAAGATTCAAAAAGAACTTCAATCTTTTGGCTCAAGGGCCTGAAGAAGTTCAAATGCGGCCTGCTGCTAATAGTCTTCTTTACAAAGCTAATAACATCAAAACTACTCAACCTCCTCCATCAATGCTACCTTTGGGAGGACCTACAAATCGTAATAGTCATCACACACCAAGTATGTATAAAATAAATTCTGATCCAAATTTGATGTTCAGCATACTGAATTTTGTAGCATTTCTGTCAAGCTTATCACAAAAATAATAGACTTATTTTGGAATGTTTACATATGACAATCTACTCAAAATTAACATTAAAGTTTAAGCTTTACAAAATGTAACAAATCAGTATTTGGACATTTTATTTTATTGTCCTATTAAATGATGCATAAAGTTTTATCTATATAAAATAATGATAGATTAATTAGTTTCGTCACTACCACTGATAAATAATAAAGCATGCCATGATTATTTAATAAAATGAAAGATCTTCAACAATTCTTTTTATTTGCAGTGCATTCAATGACCCACTCAGACAATAATTTGTCATCAACATTGTCTTCTTCTAAGCCAGCTTCTCCTGCACCTGTGGGTGCTCTTCACAAGGAAGCACCATTAATTATAAAGCAGTCATCTACTGATAAACCAAAACAAGCCAAAAAAGATAAGGTACATTAATAATGAAGCTCTAAAGCCTAATATATATTTCCTACTTCACAATCACTTTTCTTTAAAGTGGAACAAATTAATGCTTTATTTAAATGATGTATGAATTTACTCTAATAGATCCTATTGATTGTGTACTACATGAAACAACAATTGTACTGATACTTTCATAAATATTTGTATATTTTATTTTTGTTACTTCAATCATTTTAAATTGTTTATACTATTTTAGGGTCCAAATAAAGAAGAGCTACTCAAAAAGGTTCTTACCCTTTTACATGAAAATTTTCAATCATCGGAAGATGGAAAAATTATTGAGAATATTGACTTAGATAAAATTACAACTGCTTACAGAGAATTCAAAATACCTGATAAATTTGCAAAAGACATCATGTATGCAGTATTGAATGACATTCTTGAAAAAAATGGTAATTAACAAATTGGAAATATCCAGAATCTTTTCTATAAATTATTAATTGAAATATTAAATTGATCTTTTTTTTAGATAATGTAAAAGAAAGGGTAGTCTCATTTCTAAGTTCTTTACGTAAGGATGGCTTGGTTCCAGCTGCAGCATTTTCTGATAGTTTTAGACAATTATTTATGTCTGTATCAGACAAAGAAGAAAAATCCCATTTACCAGTTGCAAAAATTTTGTCTAATACAATCACATCTAAGCTGATGACATTCACAGATTTATCATCACTTGCTGAAAATGGCCAATGTTATCCATTGTTCTTGATAGTCCTCGAGTGTTTAGTTAAACTTTTGGATAAAAATGCCGTTAAAGAAATGCTGAACTCTAGCAAGGTTGGTAATATTATTTTACTAGATTTGATTTATGAGTAATCATCATCAATAATTCATTCATATTTAACTTTAGGTACAACTTTGATATTATGTCTACCAATAATTGTTAATTTTTGATTAACTTAAAATGTTATATTCTTGTATATTAACTTATACATTTGTCAACTTTGTTCATATAAATTATATTCAGTTTTACAACTTTAGTATAATGTATCAAAATGTCAAATAATTCATAATTTTTAATTAATTTAAATTATTTTCTGGTATCAGATCAATTTAATGTCAATGCTGCCGGAAGCTGATAGAACACAAGATCGCTTAGCAGAAATTCTTGAAGATAGAGGCCTGAGTTTTCTTTATCCTCTGCTTAGAGTGCGTGCCGAGTTATGGAAACAATTACAAGCAGATCCAAATCCACAACAATTCTATAAATGGATTAAAGATAATCTTGAAACCAGCTGTCACACTGATCCAGCATTTGTATATGAATTTGTAACTGTGCTGCTAAAATACATAACGCAGGTCAGTAATCCAGGACAAGTTATAAGTACATTTTTACATACAATGATGTTTTTATTATTCTAATAGATCCTATTGAGTACTCTTTTTATGAAACAAACTTTATCTGAGTTTATCTTTAAATTTAGTAGATACTTACACATATTGCCAAATTTTTAATTAAAATGCACAATGTATTTTAGGAAAGCACTTTGGCAGATGGTGTGGATGCAACAGTTTTACCCCCAAAAGCACTTCAAGAGAAAGAAAAAACTTTACTGGAGCGTTTCCAAATTGTCTTGCAAGCATTCCTTAATGGCCGAACTGATTTACAACTAACTGCTGTGTATGCATTGCAAGTGTATTGCTTTACTCACAATTTTCCTAAAGGTGAGAATAACTATAAATGATAAACTAAATAAAAAATATATTTGCATGTTACTAAAGATATGAGTGAGCATTTTACAATCTTTAAGGCTTGGTCTAGGATTTAAAAAAATGCTTTTTTTTTTTTTAATGTTATCAAAGTTTAATTTTCAAGTATGTGTATAAGATTTATCAAAATTTCAATTATTTTCTGTGATATAGCTGTTTAATCATGATAATCCTCCTCTGCCTATGCCTAACTTTAAATGCGTTCTATTATCTCTAAATTGTTTTTGTTAATACGATAGCCACAAGTATTCAACTTCTATTAGACCAATTTATTTGAAATTTTTGCAGTCTTCTTTAATAGGAACTATCAATCCACACATTTCGATTTTTACTATATTTAAATACTTTGTGATCATCAAAAAAATTTAACAATCTTTTTATTCGCGCCATTTCGAGAAAACAAATAATTTAACTTGTCCATAGTTCATATGATTGCAAATTTATTTTAAGTTAATAATGTAGAAGCATATTTTTCTTCAGATCATTTGAATCATAGGGTATGGTCAGACACCAATTTTTTGTGAAGCCTCAATTCATCACCTTCTATAATTAAACTATTTTTTTTTTTTTTGTATTACACCTCATTAATTAATAACTTGTAAAAATAAAATAGATTACTATTAGCCTTTATGGAGTCCTTACAAAAATATAAAATTTGTGGCCTAGAATTCAAAGAAACAATTATTTAATAAATTGTTAACATTCATTTCAATTATTTTTAAGAAAACTAGTTTCACAAATGCCCATTATAAATTCATCATTACTTATTTATGATGCATATATCATGCTTACATTAGTAATTATCAGAACTATAAATTAATTCATGTAACTATTTTTTTCTGTTGCACATATCATGCTTACATTTATAATCATTATATTATTTTTATGGTATATGATTGTTTTCCAGGCATGCTCTTGCGCTTTTTCGTAAACCTTTATGATCTGGAAGTAATTGAAGAAGAATGCTTTTGTACAATGGAAAGAGGATGTCACAGAAGCTTATCCTGGCAAAGGGCAAGCGCTATTCCAAGTATTCCAGTGGCTGATGTGGTTGCAGGAAGCCGAATCTACTGATGAGGATGGAGAAGCTTAAGTGTGGAAATAAGAAACAAAAAAATATGAAAAAGTCTGATAAAAAGGAATTGTAAGTTTAGGTCACCCTTCATATTGAACCAATATAAATGCTTAACATCTTCCAATAAACGAATTATATATGGTTTTAATGAAGTCAGATGAAAGGATGAACAGCATATTATCTAGAAGAAAAACTAAAGTATGCTCGTCACACTTCGGAAAATGCTAAGAATGTTTTATTGACTCGTACTTCAAAGATGATTAGAAAGATATGCAGAATATTCATATACAGATTAAAAGTTAAGTGAAGTTAACAAATGATATTGAAACCTTATAAATCGGGAAATTGACTGAGTGAACTTATCAGTTCCAAAAAAATAACTTGCATATTGCTTAAATATTTGAAAATAGCATTTCTGACTATTGAAATAGTTGGCTAGTAATGTTTTGGCAATGCTATTTTCAAAATATATTTAGATTTCTGAAGATAAATCTGAAGAGCAATACAATATTATTCTTTAAGTAATTTTTTCTAAAATATAAATTTTACCATTGAATGGTGCTGCGCTATACTCTCATCATTGGTTGGTCTAGATTTGATTTTTTTTTTTTATAAAGTAGTACATAAAAAGTGTATAAATAAAATGGCAACTGAAGTAAAAGAAACTTGTAACTGTGAATGTGTAAATTATATTTTTTGTTGTAAAAGTCGTCTATCCGTTGTTATTGTGATTTATAGTGAATTGGTTTTAAATACAGCTATGCTTCTTTAATGTTTGTAGATAAGTATTTGTAGAATGTTTATTTACAATATATTTTTGGTACATTTTTAAATTTCTTAATTATCTTATTTGTCATTGAGAGCATTTTAAAATCACAACTTAAAGTAAATTTTAAATCAAATTATAGTAGATTTTAATTCAAGTTTATAGTTATTAAATGTTTGTACACCTGTCAATCCATTAACTGTGCAGTATTATTATATTCATACATAAAAATATACAAAATTTCATAAATAAAATTTTATTTGGCTTAACAAAAATAATTTTTTTATACTGATGTCTCCTTCAAAGATCTAATATTATAATACAAGTTCTCATTATTAAGTTATTTATAAGGTTGTCATTGTAAAAAACTCATAATTAATTAAATATTGAATCTATGTGAAATTGTCAGGAAATTGTTGCCTTTAGAATATCTGTGGCTCAAGTACTAATTTACAGTTGTTGATAAATCATAAATACTTGCTGCAAGTTTAAGTACTCCAACTCTATTGCTTTTGTGACTTGGTGTTGATTAGGTGAACAGTTACTAGACCTTCATTACAGTAATTTTTAATTTCTATTCAAAAAACACTGCCGTTAAAGAATGAATTCTCTGCTGTTAAAAAACTAATTTAGATCGTATGAGAAATTGAATACATTTTACGCATGCCAGTTGGTTTTTAATGGATGATTGCGTGAAATGATAAACAAACTAGTATTATACTTAACAATAAGCAAACTTCTGATAATATGAACCAAAATATGTGTAGAATTATTTTTACAGCTATGTCATTAATCATTCTTTGGCAGATTTTATTTTAATTCTAATTCTCTGTCTATAGCAAATTGATGTCTATATTTTGAGAGTTATTTCAATATACATTGATCGTAATCTGTGAAATTTAATATTAAATGAAACGTAATCAAATGTGCATATTACACATTACAAGTTGTGGATGGTTAAATTTTAACAATTTTATAAAGTATTTAAACTCATATTAATAAGTTCAGTTTTTATATACCAAAATTGGTGTATTTAATGTGGAGCTATTGAATGGGCAGATCAAAGTGTTTTAGAAGAAATCATTGTATATTTGATTTTATTTATGTAGCATATGTAGATATGTACTCTAGCCTAATTTTTGATAGGCAAAATAGCATCTGATATAAATTTTAATATTTTAGTATTTGTGAAATCATGTGAATTTTATTTAAATTAATGTAGACAATTGAATACAACAGAATGCAGACTCAGCTTATGAATGAATGTTAAAATGTTTGCATGTTTTTTTATTGTATGTAGAAAATAATTCACATGCGCACACATCTCGTTTGCTTACTGTTTTGTTCATTTCATGTGATATACTATTCAAAAAAAAATCATATTCCATATTAAGTTTAACATAGTAGTCAATATTTATTATAGAAAATGGCCAATTAATCCATATATTATCATTGTTCTTATTGTACTGTGTAATCAACTCCATTAAAACATTCACTAAACCTCAATGCATTTTTAATTAATGTCTAGATGACAACAGGTTTTAATAGAATTTATTTAGTTTAATTGTTCATATTCAGAACTGTGGTTATATAATGTTTGAACTAATGAGTCGTGCAAATTTATTGGAAGCGGTACAATCAATTTATTTTTCTAACCAACATAGGCACACAACCAATTTTGCCAAATTACAGTAATTTATTTGAAATTTGAATATGTCAATGAAACAGTTTCAACTATTAAAATTTAAAAAAGATTTTATTAGTAAATAGATTTTTCACTTGTGTTACAATGTTATATGTACAAAAGTAGTGAGTTTCCATGAATTTAAAATATATCTATAAGTTATCTAGGAATTTATTTAGTTTGGAAGAGCGGTCAACAGCATTTCTGAAGCACTAAGGGAGCTGAAAAAGAATCAATAGTGAGACATTAACATATATATTGAAATTCTAAATATTTCACATAACCTACTCAGTCTTAAAATTGTGCACATGGCGATAAATGCAATTAAATTGTTTTTAACATTTTCTCGTACTTTTCGGCGCTCCTCTGTGGGATCACCCATTCCTGGACCACCAATTCGAAACATTCTTCTTGATTTTTAATAAATGCTAACAATTTGTCAAGCAAAGTAATTTTTAAGATAAAACAAGATGAAAGTATTGACTGTCTGATGTTTTGTGAATGTATAGTTATTCTCATTTGGCAACATTAATAGTAGGAACTCTAGTCACCATAAAGCAAATTTTATACAATTCTAAGCAATTTGTAATTTCAGAGATATCATAAAAAATAATAATTCTAGAGTTATCGTAAGTTGCAATTATTGTGGAAATTTATTTGCAATCAAATTCATATATATTCGAATCCAAAAAACACTTAATATTTTGTACAGTTATCCTGTTATAGTCATATAAATTTTAACAGCACACTAGTATTGAATAATTTAGGATAAAATATGCTATGAATTATTTAAATACTAAATAAATATCAAGCAATAAAATGCTTTTTCTAGTTGTATTTATATACATATATGATTATATTCAAAATTTGATTTTATATTTGAATTCAATTTTACCACCAACTCACCACTATGAACATAGGTAAATATACGAATAGGTCGAATCTCGGAAATGTTGTTCTAAATTAAGCGTTGGCAACACCATGATAAAAATATCAAACAAATATCGGGACAGATACGAAAAACATGGCTGAGGAACTCTCAGCTGCTTTGAATTGCAAAAGTGTTAAATTTGTACAACTCAAGCATTAATTTATGTTATAACTAAAATATATCACCAATAAACTGTTTAGTAGTTGGTCAACTCAAATGTACGTATTTGTAAATAACGCAAAGCTTGTCAGTGCTCTTTAGTGTCAGTGCTCAAGGAATACGTAACAATTATTCACTTGCCGGACACTGAAATTATTTTAACATTTGAGCTGTGTTTTGTGCCGTTTTAGTTAACTATTTTTGACAAGTGTTCCCGATAAATCGACAAACTGGAGCGACTCCCAGAATATTTACGCGATACTGTTGATTGGTTTATGGGGTAAGTTTATTTGTTTTGTTTATGTGGAAATTGGCCAAACGATTGAGATAAAAATTTAATATTGTCCATGTATTTTAACACTCACATATGAGGTTAATATTTGTGTTGTTTGTTAGTTTTGTTTATTTATGTACATCAACTTTCATTGTCATTATGAAAACAGGTTGTATGCGCTGTGTGTGAATTAGTCCTTCAATTACGTTTTTGGGAAGCAAAATGTTCAAAAGAATCTTATCTTTTTATATTTCAAGTACTTTATCATTATCATATCGATTATTTATATAAATGCTTCCCAATCTT